CCCCCCCCCCCCCGAAAATGAGATAAAGAGGTAGCATGAGAAAACGAAAGGAGGGAGAGAGAGAGAGAGAGAGAGAGAGAGAGAGAGAGAGAGAGAGAGAGAGAGACCCAAGGCAAGTAGAGAACGATGCCACTTCTTGCAGGAGAGGCCACCCAACGGTCTCCCCCAAAGTGCTCCACTGGGCCCGAGGTGCTCTCCCAGGCTGGGTCCTGGGAAGGCTGTGGGGCGAGGGCGCCTCTCCCAGCTTCGAAATAGCACGGAAGCAAGCCGGGCTCCAAGTTCCTCTTAAGAGGTTAAGCCTTAATCATTGTATCATTTCCCTGGGGAGGAGTGTAGCTCTCTCCCAGTGGCGATGATTATGCGCCTTGTATTCTATTGCGAGGCATCTAATAGGAAAACATATGGTGTCAATTTGGCGGCTCCGCGCCTAGCACACACCCAGGAGCGAGGCGCACAAAGCCCGATCTGCCCGCCTGCGACCCCGCGGCCAAGTCGGGGCTGCGCCCGGTCGCGCCCAAGAGGCCCCAGCGGCGCGGGGCGAGCTGACACTGAGGCCGTGCGAAGGCATCTGCTATTAACATAAACTCCCCTCGCCACATCAAGGGCAAGAGCAGCCAGGAAGAGGGAAAGGGAGGGAAGGAACGAGGAGGGAAGGCGCGGGTGGAGGAAGAGAGTGAAGCCTCCCTGAACCGAAGCACAGGTGACTCCCCGGCTCGGGTCCCATCTTCCGCCCAAGCCCCAGCACGCCCCTTCCGAATGCCAGGCACCAGGTCCTCTGCGTGTCCAGGGCCTTCGCGGCGACTGAGGATTCTCCTCGCGCCTTAACTACAACTTCCTCCCACGGCCTGGGCAGCCTTGAAACACTACCAAGGGAGACTCAGAGCTCAGGGGGAAGAAAAGAGGGTGAGTGGAAGGTCCTCTGAACAGAACCCGGACCAGAGCTGGAGGGAAACTTGCTGGGGAAGTCCACAGGCCTGTTCAAGACTCTAGGGAGAACGGATCAGGGTGGGGCAAAAGGCAGAGTAGGGAAAGGTGGGCTCTTGCCACAATTTCTCCGACTCTCCTCCAGTCCGTTAGCTCCACTGTCCTGAACCTAGAGCCATAGGTTATCCCATTCTGGATCTATTCTGAACATGGCCTGAGTGCAGTTTGGACTGCCGATTTAGGGCCGCTGGGTTTCTGGCAAGCCTGCCTTCTCTCCAGACACTTGCCGGGCGTTTACAAAGGGAAATCAAGTCCCCCAAACTTCCCTCCCATCGCAGCAAAAGGGCCTGGAAGCGAAGGGAGAGAAGATTGGGAGTGGAGAACCCTCCCTGAGTTTATTGTACATTTGGGAGCCTAATACAGGTGATACTGGGAACCCCAACAACCCTAGCCTGGCGCCCAACTTGCCCACAGTGAAATACAGAAAAACTGCCTCTTTTCTAGAACCATAAAATCCTCCTCACCTGATTTCCCATGAGGGTCAATCACTACCCCCAGTATTATGTCTTTCCTCCTGGTCCACTCGGGCCAGGGGAGCCAACTGTCCCCTGTGAAAGAGTTGAGCTCCTTCATTGCTCTGCCTAACCCCTCTGTGAAGTCTGAAATGCCCTCTTTCCCTTTCCTTGCAAATCTCCTGGCATTGCCCAAAGATGACACCAAGCACAGAGGGTTAAGGAAAGTCCGAGTGTGGCACCCCAGAGATTCCCCTTTCTTCCTGCAACCTGGAGAAGCCTGACCCAGTTCGCCCAGTACCACTCAGTCTGGAGCTTACGACTGGGTAGGGTCAGTAGTGAAGCAGTTTTCAAGTGGGTTTTAGGGCTAGCTTGTGAGTAGATAACAGTTTCAGCGAACCTTGGACAGCAGTTCCTTGACTGCCCAGGCTGTTTTCCCAGAAACTGAGATTGCACCTTCCAAAAAACAAACAAATAAACGAAAAAAAAAAATCCCAAACAAAAAACCCACAAACCAGCAACCTCACCACCACCACCACCACCTAAAATGAAATGCTAGTCTCCAGTCAGTAGTACTGAAACGGCAGTAGGGGCCCAGCAGCCCACAGGCCGGTATGGTCAGGGTCCTTCAGGCCTTCTTCTTTTTTACCACCACCCGGGTCCTACGCTGCCCTCCAATCCGTATTCCCTACTCTCTTGAGGAGTTTCCCGAGGTCCGCAAAGAAAGACCAGAAACACTTACTGTTCTGCATGGTGGCTTGAGGCAGCGGGATCCCACGTGGCTCGGATATAGGGCTCTATTAGCAATAAAACAAGCATTAATCAGGAGTTGCCGGGCTCAGGGCAGGCCTAGCTTAGCGCTAATGGAAATACGTCTTGCAGAGATCGGGAGATACAGTCTCTCCTAATAAATTTATAGTTATGACCACATTGCAACAAATGAAGTTCATCAACATAAACTCTCCAGTTCATGCAAATTTTGCACCTTTCATATTTTTCTTAGAAATAAAATCATCCCAATCTTTCCCAATTCTTCCGAGCATTTAACCCTTCAGTCAGTTGGCATTATGCATCCGGTCCTAGGGTTTTTTATGGAGCTTTCTGCATGAGCAATTTATTTTCTCTCTTCTCCCCACCTTCTTTTGGTCTTTGTAAAACCTCAAAACAAGGACTCCTTCCTTTCCCAAACTTGCCTGAGATCTGGGATGACTGTCCTCGCTTACAATGTGAGGACTTACACATCTGCACGTCCCTAGTTAAAGTCTTCCCCCTAAGACAGAGAGGAAAGAAAAAAAGTGTATTTTAAAGCGTCATTGAGCCAGGTTCTCAAAGGTCTACCTCACAAAGAGACAAGCTAAAGCCCAAAGTTCGACTGAAGCATTTGCAGAACAATCATCCAGCAATGAAACCCCAAACCCAAGTTCTCTCCTCTCCCCACCCCACCCCCACGCACAAAAAGATCTTGGGACTGCAGGAGAGACTCCTAAAAAAGAGTTGGAAACTCAGAAATTACTTTTAAAATGCTATGAGGGAAGACAGATAAGGAAGAAGAGAGAGAACAAGAAAGGAGAGGAGGAAGGAAAGAAGACCAAGCATAAAGAGAGGAGCAGGGGGAGAAGAGGGAAGGAGTGAGCAGAAGAAAAGGGAAGAGGAAGAGGGAAAAGAAGAACAAGAGAAAAGAGAGGAGGAAGAGTGAAAGAAAAAAGAGAAGGCAGAAGATAAAAAAAGAACAGTGGGGAGAAACGAAATGGAGGGAGGAGAAGAGGAAGAGGAAAAAAGCAAAAGAAAGTCAAAAAGATGTAGAGAAGAGAGGAGGAAAAAGAAGAGCTGAAGAATTGAGAGAGGAGGAAGAACAGGAGAGGAGGAGGAAGAGAAGGAGGAGAGAGGGAAGGGAAGGAGGAAGGAGAAAGCGGAATAATACCTGTTTGCTTTTTGAAGGGGATGTCTGGGTGAGGTTGCCAACCAGCCAGGCCAGGGCCTAGGCCTTGGGAACTGCCTAATTTCCCATCAGCCGGGAGGCGCAGGCCCAAAGTAAACTCAGCCCAGCTTCAGGGCTTCTTTCTCCTTCCTTCCCAGCCTCTTGGGCCCCAATCTCCCTACCGGCAAACGGAACCCAACACTGCTGCTACTGCCCCCTCTCCCCACCCCCCCTCTCCCCCCACCCCTCCCGTCTGGCCTCTCTCTCTCTTCTCTCTCTCTCTCTCTCCACTCCTGGGACTTTTAAGTGGAGCTCCCAACTTTTTCCCCCCCAAACTCCACTTATTGTGATTAACTTCTTTTTTGGTCTTTAGATCTTCCCCCTCCTCACTGTACTGTGACACACGCTGTCTACCTCGCCTCAGTGCTCTAAAAAGTAAGAACGGGAGGGGGTGAGAACCGGTCAACAAAGCCGACAGACGGGGAACAATGACTCCTATTCTCCTCCTCTCCCCAAACCCAAAGAGCCAAACCGAGCCTCCCTCACCGGCAACACAGCTTCCATCTGAACGGACCAACAACCCACCACTCACAAAGGAAACAGAAAGGACCTTCTCTCTTCATTAGCGGTGCCGCGACCCAACGCCGGTGCCCCCCCCCC